TCACTACTGAATTTAAGTTATTAGTTCATATGTAATTAGCACTTGTAAGTAACTAAAACACGTTGTGTCTATATAGAAACTAGAAACATGTGGATAAATATTATAAATATGAAAACAGTGATCAGAGGCGACGAGCGTGCCAACATTGTTTTTGACAACGCGATCATCTTATGGAGCTCCGTGGATCGTTCAAAGTACCTTTCGAACACTAACATTCATAACGCGCCCGCGGCCAACTTCATGGTGTTACTATTGTGTTACAGCAGCTATACTCTAAGTGTGTTCCGCGGAACCCTAGGGTTCCGTGATACCTCTGTCGGGGTTCCGCAAGAATTTAGAAATAAAAAAATCAAAACACCTCTCTCTGGTCGCTCCGCGGCTGTGCGGACTCCGCGGCCGCGCGGAGACAAAACGCTATGAATGTTATTTATTTATTTATTTGTATTTGTATAAGCTTGTGTTACATTAGCTGGTACAATATCTCATAAGTTTGGTCTCAACAATTTTATACTTGTACAACGCGTTCGCTCTAAGTTTGCCGGTCTGTGGAATGCGCGTACCCTCCCCCACGTGACAACAAAACTTATAATGTGTCATAGTTTTACCCAAATATCTAACGTACACAATTTTTATTGTTACAATTAAATAAAAAATTTCGAACGTCATACACTCATACCTATCGCCAGCGGCAAACTTAAAACGAGCGGGTAGTATACTTGTAAGCGCTCAGTCTCTTTGATAAAAGCCGCCTCTGAATTAGACGCTATAGTTGTCAACTAGCGACTTTCGTCTCTAACTTCAAAGGATAAAGTCGATATTGTTTACAACGCTATTTTTAAATTTCTGTTTTTATTTTTGCTTTTTGTTTATCAAAGGTGCCGACTCGAGTATTTTCGAGAATATTTGAGATCGAGTCTAGGACTAAGTATAAAAGCGGCGATCGCGCGTTGGCGTCGTCAGTTGATGATTAGCGTTCGGAGCGATAAGTTACTACCTACTTACAAGCTCGCTAGCGAGAAACTGGTGTTCATTGTTTTACTGCCTGCTGTATTCTGTTGTCTCAGTTTTATACATTTCTTCCCTGTAGGTTCTAAATTTAGTCTCTTATACGCAGTAACGATTGTGCATTATTTAAACCCCACTATCCTGACTTGTAACATTATAAATAAAGAAGAATGGAACGTTGGCTTAAAGGTGTTAAACGTGTTCCAACAACATCTTCTAATGACGCTGAATGTTCAAAAGCAATGCGCGCGGAGAATTTAGCAATCACCGATCCAGAAGATGATGCCACGAGTGCCACGACGTCAAGCTCGACGGTTTCAAAGACGAAAAAAAGGAAGTATGATGAATCTTATATCAGTTTCGGATTTGTTGATTCCAACGGCTCACCTCTCTGCATGCTCTGTAGTAAACTGCTTCCTAATAGTTCCATGGCACCTGCCAAATTGCGTCGACATTTAGAAACCGTACACCCCGAGACTAAAGACAAGAATAAAGAATTTTTTGTTCGCAAAAAAGATCAGTTATTAGAAAGTCAAAAAAATATGATGCATGTAACACAAACTACCAACGAAAAGGCCACGGAGGCATCATACTTAGTTAGCTATCGCATTGCACAAGCAGGTGAAGCGCACACTATCGCTGAGAAATTAATAAAACCATGTGTATTAGACATAACAAAATGTATGCTTGATGAAAAATCTGCAAAGCATCTTTCTACTGTTCCGCTATCAAACGATACTGTTTCACGACGAATCCATGATCTGGCAAGCTACGTCAAACAAGAACTAGTTACACGTCTACAAAATACACGATTCGCTTTGCAAATGGACGAGTCGACTGATGTCGCTGGTTTGGCTATCCTGCTGGTTATTGTGAGATATCCATATAAAAGTTCTTTTGAAGAAGACATGCTTATGTGTTCATCGCTGCTTACAAACACTACCGGGGAAGAAATTTTTAATAAAATAAATATATTTTTTGAAGAACATAATCTCAGTTGGAACAATTGCATTGACATTTGTACAGATGGGGCCAAGGCGATGACAGGTAAAACAGCAGGAGCAGTGTCACGAATGAAAAATAAAGCGCCTAATTGTAGTTCCAGTCATTGTATTCTGCATAGACAAGCACTTGCGATGAAGCAAATGCCGTCTAATCTAAAATTAGTTATGGATGAAGCGGTAAAAATAATTAATTTTATCAAATCACGACCACTACAATCCCGATTGTTCTCATTATTGTGTGAAGATTATGGCAGCAAACATAAAACACTGCTGCTCCATACAGAAGTGCGATGGCTGTCTCGGGGAAAAACTTTAACAAGGCTATTTGAACTTAGAGCCGAGTTACAAATGTTTCTTTCAGCAGATACTTCTTTTAATTTGAAGGACCGTTTGTATGATAAAACTTGGTTGTTCCGATTGTCTTTTATGGCGGATATCTTTCAAAAACTTAACGAATTAAATTTATCATTGCAAGGTAAACAGACAACAGTGTTTCAGGCCTATAATAAAATAACTACTTTTAAAAGAAAATTAGATTTTTGGATCATTTGCATTGGTAAGAAAGAAATAGAAAGTTTTACGTTACTCACTGAGTTTGTTAGCGAAAACGACTCAGAAATGTTTGAAGATAATGTGTTTGAAGAATTGGTCCAATATCTCAGTTCGATGCGCGCATCTTTTGAAAAGTATTTTCCCGAAGAACACAATACAAAAATTAAAGTGAACTCCTGGATTCATAATCCTTTTTTACCCAACTTGGAAAAGCCTGAAAACATGTCAAATGAGATATATGAATCTCTTTTAGAAATGTCATCAGACACAAGTATGGAGTCATTGTTCAAAACGACGCCTCTTAATGATTTTTGGTGCAGAATCCAAGATGAATATGCAATGCTTGGCCAAATGGCTCTGGATATTCTTCTCCCGTTCCCAACTACATATTTGTGCGAAACAGGATTCTCTACCTACGCAGCCACGAAAACAAAATATCGCAATAGACTGGACGCCGAAGCTGATATGAGACTCCAACTTTCTTCCATCAAACCTGATATCAAGCAATTGATGAAAAATAAAAAACAGTTTCATACCTCCCACTAGTTAGATTTTTTCTTTTTTAATGTTTTCTATTATTGTCCTTACCAAGTGGTGAAGTAAATAATAATTAGTAACGGATACATTGTACTTTTATTATGCTGATTAATATAGAATACACTTATAAAAATAATTGTTTTATTGTAGGGTTCCATCAAGTATTTTGCTTCCCAAAAGGGTTCCGTCATTTAAAAAGTTTGAGAACCACTGGTGTTACAGTGATGCGCGCGCATCTCGAAATTTCACTCACATGATTTTTTCATAACGCGCCCGCGGCTAACTTCATTATGTTACTTTTGTGTTACAGTGATGCGCGCGCATCATAAAATTTCACTCTCATATTTTTTTCATAACGCGGCTAAAGAAATATAACTTCAATAAATATACATTATATGGAAAATTGCTTTAGGCAGTTTGCTATCGTCATTGTTCAAAGTTTTCCACTTATTTACTTATTTCTAGAGTTTTCCAGCTAAGTGGAAAGTTTCCAAACATTTTTGGTTCAAAAACGAAGCTTTAGTTGGATCCGTATTGATTTGTAGCTTAGTCTTTCGTCTAATTACCAGGGAAGACAAATTCGATATCGTCATTTCTACGAAGATTGGAACATGATCTATATAAAAGTACTAACTCAACTTGTTATTTAAGTAAGAACAGTTTTACAACTTCTGACAATTTGGGCCACAACTTATAAAATCAAATTCATGTTTTACTAATTACCTATCTATCTTGTTTCCTACTGAGCTGATCCGGTAAATTTGCAAACTATTTTGGAAGAAGATTTAATACTGTTTGCTTATTTTTCAATATAGATAAGTCATATAAACGTAGGTACTGATATATAATCGTGGGTTATGGTTCTTTGTTCTGATGTTGTTTCGCAGTTCGATCATTCTGTACAATGTGCAAAGTAGATTACCTATTGTTATTGACACTAAAAGAATTTTACAATGTTAACTATATGATTTTTTATGTTTGTTAAAAACTACCCGCACATAACTGACAGTAAGGTGTAAAGCAAGCACATAACATTTTCTACGAGTTAGCTGACGAGCATCAGAATTATAGCTTTTACTGTGGAACTCTGAATATGCTTTGTTCTATTGGAATTATATTCAGTCGAAGAGAGCCGTTAATTGAGGAATGTCTCTGACTGGCAGAAACGTGAATCTGAAGTAGGTACTCCCTTAACACCAGCTTTTGACTATAGGTACTTACGTATTTATCTGTTTGGTTTTGCTTTGTGATAGGCATTAACAAGTCTATTAAGGCTTCATGGATTCTATTCTGTTTTCACAAATTTGATCCTTCGAGCCGGATAACTTGTAATTTGTTTGCAAATCATAGATACACTTCATTCAGACGTTTTGTGTTTTTTAATAAGTTGTGTATGTTTAGTTGTAGTTATTGTCGATCTTGATCGTTGATTTTGTAAAATAACTAGTGATACAAGATTGTCAGTTGTTTTATTTCAATACAATTTAAAATATGTCATGAAAGAAAAAGTAAATAGTAGATTGTTATCTACTAGAAATATAAATGGACTGACCGTGGCAAAAAACTTATCTTAAACAACCTGTTTTGAATTCTCAATGTTTTTCGATTAACGAGCCCATCCGCCATCGTGCGGTTATCTCAAAAAATTTTAAATCATACAATATCTTGACTTGACAGCACCTAAAGCCCCATTACTGTAACTTGTTTCGAAAGAGCTTTTGTTTTTTTCAAGTCCCGAAGGAAAGAGTCGGCGCCCGCGCCGTCCATTGGCGCCTTTCCCCGAGCGAACGAGATGGAGAACCCTATTGTTTCGATAAACAGGAGAGAGATAGAGCATAAAGCATTCCGCCCGCGTCACAGACAGACATACCATACCAAATGGTACCAGTTTGCTTGTTATGAGCCGACTTTTCGGTCGTGTGTCTCAATGTTGTGAACTGTTACCGACAATAATGTAAACAAAATAATTTATATTCTCCAGTGATTCTAAGTTAGTGTACTACAGTGGTGTTTTGATGATGTGTTAAGTGTGTGCCAGACAGTGAGCTGTGCCAATTTTCTTGGGATTTTCGTTTGAAACGGGTAAGAATAACTAAGAATGCAACCCATTCCCTCCCGTCCCTCTCGGAAGAATGCAGTGCACCTCGGCCCAGGCGCACCTTGCGGGCTCGTTTTATCGAAAATGTTGCTCTCATTTTATTTTTAATGTACTCTTAGTGAAATATGAATTGATAGTGTCTGTCATCCAATTTCTTGTATCATCGTTGAAGTGAATGTCACAGATAATGAATGCCGTTTATTTGTTTTGCCGGTGTTTTGAGATCATGAATACTTTTTGTTATCTTTATGTGTTTGTGTTTCTACACATAGAAAAGCTTGTTGATGTTAGTATGTGATCGACTATTTTGGTAGCCATGTGCTCGCGCATGGTCAGTGCATGAAGTTAAAGGTTTCAGCTGAACTTTGTCCTTCAATTTCTTTACAATAAAGCTTGCATTTAGTATATGTACCTACGTTGAGAAAAAATATAGAAAAACAGCAATTTGTCTCATGTTTAATTCCATCTGGGTGCTTACTTGAGACGGTATATGTAAGTAAGTTGTAAGTGTAAGTTGCTTCACAGAGCTAGTTTTTTTTTTCATTTATTGATTTACCAGCATTTGTGTATACATACACAAAAAATAGTAACGCAAACATTTTGAGTTGTTTAATGTTAAAGTGTAACAAATACTTATAGGTAAATTAATCATGATCATGCAATTAAACAACATACAATCTAAAAATCAGCTTAATCTAAAACCAAACACTACAATATTTTTAGGTACTGTTTTGTGACAAATACTTATATAAACTAGACCGAAGCTTGTCAGGTGAGTCCCAGAAAATATCAAGCTGAACATTTTTTTTGTGTATTATTTTTTTTTGTGTTGCATAGTCTTGAAATAGGGAGTTGGATCCGAATACCGTTCTGCGACGAGGTGCTTTGAGAGGGTCTATCCTACTTTGCGGGTATCTTGAAGGGACATTGAAATTGATTTTATCAAAAAAATAGTTAAAGTTAATCAAAATATTTACTATAACTTTAACTGGCCTTACTTGGATAGTTAATTGTCGGTGTCAGTACCCTTATTACGTTAGTTTGAGCTCACGAAAACTATCATAGTTTTCGTAATTGTTAATTATGTATCTATGTCCATGTTGATGATAAGTAACCAAATATACTAAAAATTTAAGAATAGAATTTAAGTTAGAATTTAAACACTGTTTATTTGTATTGAAACGAAAAACAGTATCTTTAGTACGAGTGCGAGCTCACGAAAACTATCATAGTTTTCGTAATTGTAAAACTCGTACTAGGGGTACTGATTATAACCCTCATTTTGACTATCGCCAAAGTAAATTTTTTCACCTAACCGGAACTTTAACTGAACAGTTATTACCTCCAGGACTTTTGGCCGGCGTAATAGATCGCTTACAACTACATCGAGTAACGCACATGACGGACTTAATATACCGTGGACAAAAAGGCCCCCGAACTACCGCGAACACCGGGGGACCGGACAGGATAAAAGTACGCGAGAGTTCTCGAAAAAAAAATAGAACTTATGTGACAAGAGGTGACAACGCACACGGCGAACTTTAGCCCCTACGACAACGACTAACTAGAGCCGAGGTCCGAGTACCAGAGACGCCTTCTTGTTAAGCCGACTCCTCAGGTTGGAGTGGTCTAGAGGCTCCCCAGACAGAGAGGAGACTCCCCCCGTGGGTAGATGCCATCCGCCTGGAATAGCTCTAGAGGCACTCGCCAATTCTCGGCTTGAGGTCCCCTTAGGATCTCGCCGTCCCCAAATCTGGTGACGCTGTAAAGGTCATCTGCAACCAACAGCATACACACTAAAAAAAAGTGAACTTTAATCCGCGGTACGCGGTCGATGGTGATGTACGTTGTAAAGAAGTGGCAAAAGAACTCTTTTGTATGATACATCAAAAAAAGACTAAGAATCACGACCGAAGGGGCAATGGCGAAATATTTGTTAAAGGAATTCTTTAGCGTCTATAAATTACATCATCAGAAATGCAAATTTAATAACCTTATCAGCCGAAAACGGATTTATTAAAAATTTTGAGGCGGGTTGTCTAAGTCTACCATTAAAAACTTGAAATTAAGGAAACACATTTGAATAATTATTAAGCAATCAAATTTTTTGTGGCTTATCAATCACGCCGACAGAATGGTAGAGTAAATTTGTGAAAAATATCGAGAGGTTACAGGTTTAAACAATAAAATTTATAACTATAATTGCTATTTCTTCTTTAAAATGTTTAATACCTGTTAAGGTATTCATTTGACATTGTTGGTTATCTACAATGCAAAGAGATGGCGCTGCCTTGCAGCTTAAGAAAGGCTAGAAAGAATTCGATACGGCCCTCAGGGCCGTGGTACCATAATGGTCAGTGTATTCGCCCGGATAGCGAAGGGTGCGGGTTCGAGTTCCGTCTGCTGCCTGGTCCGCGTAGACTTTTTTCTTATAATATTTTCTTTGGATTTAAACATCGAGCAGTTACATGCTTAAATAATAAAAATTATAATTTGAAAAATATTTTTCTTTTACGATAGCTTCCCTACATAAACCCTGTGGACGATTTTCTAAAGTTTGGTTAAAGAAAATTTCTTACTTATTAATAATTCCTTTGAAGAAAATATTAATAGTGACATAGAAGGCGTAAAACCTTGCTTTGAAAAACAAAATCTAAAAACCTTTTTAAAAATTGATTTTTAATAAATATGAAATTCAGAAAATAAAGACTTCTGCTCAAATATATTGCGGTAACAACAGGCAACAACGGAACCCTTACACTGCGTCTGGCACGACATGCACTTGGCCGGTTTTTTTAACGTTTGTGCGTTCATGAAGTTTCATGTTCTAAATTCGAAATTAATTCTACATTTGAAAGAAATAAGTACCTACCTAATTATTGATCATCATTGTCATTAGAGATGCGCTTTTAGTTATAAAATCTATCAAATCGGTTATTTTAGGGTGAAGAATTTAAATTTTACAAAACTATATAAAATTATGGTCTAACTTATATTTAAGTTTACGAAAACCTTTTCAAGTTGATTTGAATAAAAAAGAAATAGGCCGTCAAAGTAGTTATTTTTAGACCATTTTTGTTATAGAGTCTATCCCAAAATCTAAACTATTTTAAAGGTGAACGCAGACTTGGCCGCACCGCAGTCTCCGCAGTCGTACCCGTCGCGCCGCCGCACCGCACGCATCTCACTTGATTTCTTTCATTCAGTTTGTAATATAAATTAAGAGTGGGCGTGTATTACAGTATACAGCTCATTGTATTGAACCAACGTAATTAAAGTAAAATCGTCAATTCTTGTAAGTACATAAATCAATCGCAGAAACACAAAATAAACTTTTTCAATTGCGCATGCACAATGCACATCCTCCAGCTCCGGTTTGGCTCGCGTCGTGGATGTAGATGACGTCATCCGCGCCGTGCTAGCCGCAGCGTCCGCTGCGTGCGGGCCGGCGTTGCTGACGTCATCAGCTGCGGCTTGGGGAGTTCGGTCGTTTCAGGGACTGCGGCGCGTGCGGTGCGGCCAAGTCTGCGTTCACCTTTAGAATGTGAAATTATAGTATACTAGCTGACCCAGCGAACTTCATACCGCTATAAAAATAGGGGCAGGTGGTAGAAGAGAAAATTTAGGGTTGTATGTATTTTTAATACCACATTATATAAAAAAAAAAGTCCAAAAAAAATTTTAGGAATGTGTAACGTAGTGGTCTATCAATTTCCTGGGATAACATTCCTCCTAACCCATATAAGAACACTACGTTACAATACCCAATAGTTTGAATTTTGGCGCGAAGGCGCATTGTATCTGCGCATCAGAACACTACGTTACAGGTGGACAACCATTATCACTTAAGGATATGAAAAATAGATAGTAGCCGATTCTCAGACCCACGGAATATGCATATAAAATTTCATAAAAATCGGTCAGGCCGGTTCGGAGGAGTATGGTAACTAACATTGTGACACGAGAATTTTATATTTACGATGATGTCCCATATCTTGTATTTAAATACAACCAATACTGAAAACGCTGATTCATAATGTACTTGTTAGTTGTAAAGAAAACAACGTGTTTGCGTGCGATGTCTAGCTCGGAAACGAAATTTTTCATATGTCAGTAATTTTAGGTACCTAGTTTTAATAACAGGATAATATGGTAAGAAGCAATGTTGCCTCCGTTTGAATGAAGAATAAATAAGATTTTAAGGAACCCTAAAAGAGTGGTAGATACGTGAAAATTTTCGCGAAAGACGAAGGAAATACTCGTCACGTAACCGCTCATGTTTTTTTCGTTTCTCGATATTGTGCAGAGACATGCCCCCCCCCTAGCATGACTAACAAAACGCGATATGATAGGGCGATTTATCGACACTCAACTGTCAAACTCCATAGTAGTTTGACAGTTAATGTCGATAAATCGCTTTAACATATCGCGTTTTGTTACTCATGCTAGGGGGGCTGGAGGCCTACTCTAATTCAACGAAATGCGAAATTTCAATCGAAACTTTGCAATTTTCTTACTGTTTCTGGTTCCGTTTTAATTATAATAATATTCGTTGACGGAATATGGATTGAGGTGTAGATTTTATCAGCCTACTCAAAGAAAGCTTTAATTTGATAGTTTATCGTTTAAATTAAGTATAACCTTAAATTGACTAAATTATATTTCGTTTGAACTTCGTTGTCGTATGTTCGTTTCGGAGAAAGAGAGTAGACACCCTCGAACACTCAAATAGGCTAATAATAGGTAATTTTATTTAGTTTTTTTAGAAACCTAGTTGAAACTTTCACACATTCCGGTATTGTTACCATATGAGAGGTAGATCAAAGTTGATTTTCTGCTCGAATTGGAACGTCCGTCTGGGGAAGTAACTTACACAAGATTACAGTAAAATAACACTAGCTTTTTTGATGGTGTTGTTTTTCTGTCGGTAAGTAAGGTTTCGAGGATCCACGGTTTTTTTTATGGATAGGTTTGCCAAATGAGT